CCTTTTATCTTATTGCTTTATATGTTTATGCCTTTCTATGGAATGGTGAATCAGTTATTGCAGTTCAAAGGGGAGAAGAGACCTTTCCAGTTTCCTCCTCGTGATGTTCTTCTTCTCTCAGCTCATGAGTTTGAAAATTAAAAATATTGATTTTTCTCAAGACACAATGGTGTTGATATGCTATATTATAATTCTCCCTTAAATCTTTATTAGTATATTTGTATGTCGGAAAAAGAAAAATAAAATTTTATGGCAGGTTTCCTTCCCTTGGATTCAAATTTGGAGAGAATTGGAAATTGTCTTGTGAATGATAATTGGAAATGCATAGTAGGTCTTACCCATTTCTTGCTTGATGGTCTGTTACCTTAGCTGTGAATTATGAAGAATTTAAAAGGAACTTAGGCCTTATTGTCTGACACACCATATGAGGTTTGAGTATTTCCTGTAACCTATCTGGTGCATCGGCAATAATCATTTCCCATGTAGTAAGATGACTAGTCTTATTTTATTGCGCACTGTCTCTCACACATCACATGCACAAGCACATAGATAGAGAGTGCTTCCTTGTTTGGCCTCTACTTTGAATTTCATCCCTTTTATTAATTTTGTTTATGCTAAAGTTTTTGTTTTTTTCCTCATGACAGATAGGAGGCAAGCAGAAGCTGCTCGTATCATGGAGAAGTGTCCTGATAGAATACCTGTAAGATTCTTCCATGTTAGCTATGTGCCCGTGCATGTTCCCTTTATCAACAAATCTAACTGGTTGTGGAATGTAGGTGATTGTTGAAAGGGCTGAAAGGAGTGATTTGCCTGACATTGAAAAGAAGAAGTTTGTCTTATCTCGATTTTTTGTACTATCTTGCGTTTTTTCTTTCATTTTATATATATTGTAATTCAATCTTGTGATATGATTTGGATGTAAAATTTACAATATCATCTTTTTAATTAGCGTAGGTGACTTATTTGAAAAACGCCTTTCTTTGATACATGAATGTCCTTTTACTGCTCTGTTTGAAATCTGGAAATTGAACCAAATTATTACATTAATGAACAATGGACTTTTATGTAATGCCCGAAATGCTGTTTAAGTGCCACTATTGGGCTTTTTGGTGTGTTCATTCATTTGATATTTGCTCCAGACAAGATGAATTTCACTGGACAGTTTTCCGCTTCATGCAATAGCTCAACTCCATGTTTCTGCTTTATGTGCATTCTTAAAGTGTTCCAGGACCTCGGACTGAAATATATGTCAACACTCATATAATGCTGACTCTGCCATATGCACATATTGATAATTGCAGTTTTCAATTTGATGCCCTACATCAAGGATTCAATTGCCTGTTAGTTTTCGCAATATGGGTATTTGCAAGTGCCTGTTAAGCCATGATTATGAATAGAGATGTTTTATACACCTACGATCACTGTTAAGCAGTTACTATATCATCTCTTCTTCTTTTTTTGGGATGTCCAGATACCTGGTTCCTGCTGATCTTACTGTCGGCCACTTTGTGTACATAGTCCGGAAGAGGATTGAGCTCAGTCCTGAGAAGGCCATCTTTATATTTGTCAAGAATAGCCTACCTTCAACAGGCAAGATTAATGCATACCCTCTCCTGTTTCACTAGTTTAAATTTTTTGTTGGTTGTAAATCTGACACAGTATTCGCTTTGTTGCAGCGGCTATGATGTCTGCAATTTATGAGGAAAACAAGGATGAAGATGGTTTTCTTTACGCGACCTACAGTGGTGAGAATACCTTTGGGTCGGTCTAAGACGACTCAAACCAGATGTACGTGAATCAGATAAAATGTAATATCTAGATCAGTTGTAAATTCTCTTTAACTCTCCTAGTTTAGCTCTCTATTTCAGTCATATGTCTTGTTTGGACAAAGTCTCAACACTTTACTTCGCATGACTATATATTTTAGTTCAATGCTGCATAGTTTTAGATTTGCTTTGCTTCTCTCCTTTGAATGCGGACATTCATATACTTTGAATCTGTTGATGTCATACTGAAGTAAACAGAATCATAGATTTAGTGTTATCCCTGCGACGCCATGGAATTTTTTTTAGAATGAAAATGAGATATCAGTCTTATCAAATGATGGGATTGCTGGAAATTTCCTTTGAAATATTCCTAGAATAGAAATCAGATATACTTTTGCATGACAATCACTGGTTCTTTGCCATGATGGTGGCAAATGTGTTGAGCCATGGATGACTAAATGGGATAACATAAAATCAAGCCAAGCTATTTTTGAGTATGCATAAAATTCTTAACAGTGCAATTCATTCACTTCAAGAAAGAAGCAAACTTGTAGATCCTATTGGGAATGAGGAAATTTCAATCACTCATTTAGATGAGCTTTTCTTCTGGTATTGGTCCTTGATCCATTTGACACCCACAGAAGTTCCACTCTTCACCTTATGGGCTCCCACCACAGCTGCTGCCTTCGCCTTGTCGAATCCAGCAGAGGCCGCTGCCTTCACCTCCTCCATCTTCTTGCTGCTGCTGCTGTTTCCTAGCTTTTTCTTGTTGGTCATGGCCTTGTTTTCACCGTCGCCTTCATCGCCAAAGCCACCCGTACCCCATTGATCAGCCCAAGTTGGTGCCTTGCTTCCCATAATTCCTGGAAAATATTCAACCAATGCGGAAACAACTCTTGATAATGAACTTCAAGCGTTTTCTTGCCACAAGCACACAATAGAAAATCTCAAAAGGAGGGGTGAGGAGAGGCTTAAGAACTATTCTATTGTACATGGTGGTTTATTTTTTGATCTTTTAGAAAAAGAAGGACTCTGAAAGGTTAGAGTTATAGTTCTACAATGCTAAGGAAACCCACTGTCAGTGGCATCTGTGAGAAGATTGGATCAAATATTGTCACACACACACACACACACACATACAGGTGGATCCCCATTGGAATCTAAGCACAATCTGGCTAGTTGATATTAAACCCCAATATGTATTAAGTATTTTAAATGAAATTGTATTTGTTCCAAACTTCCAGTCCATATGAGCAACGAATAGTAGATCACCATCTGTGTATAGATGATAGGTTTACATATAAATAATGGGTTTCACTTGAGTTCATGGTGAGTGATCTATGATTGATTAAAATTGCATGAATAAGTAATAGAGAGAATCGTAATTCTATTCATTCGAACATAAATCATAAATTGATATTTTCAGTAAATAAAATTAATTCCAGTATTTGGTTTGCGTTAAGACAAACCAAGGTATAATGCTTGATGATGATATTTGTAATGATTTGACATGGAACAAAATGATTTAATCTGTTTTTTTTTTAGCATTTTGAAGAAATAATTTATTGAGCCATTGAGTGGAGTTTTATGGGCATTTCTTCATATTTTGAAAAGAAATAAAATAAATAATAAATCTTGCCGATTTTAACGCTTGAACCGTGATTTGAAATGAGATAATTCGAAAAAATTTAGGGATATAAAGTTAGGAATCAAAGAATTTTGGATAGATATTTTATGATCAATCACATTTTCCTAGTCAATTATTTCGACATCAATTTGAAACTTTTACACTAGATTTTCAAATCTCCAAACCTGCCAACACAGACTACAACACTTGACCTTACATACAACCCGAGGAGAGGGAGAGGGAGAGGGAGAGGGAGAAGATACCTTGTGACTTGTTGGGATGCTTGAGGGCCCAGAGAGTTGGTTGACTTGGGATGACTGGTTGATTTTCTCAAGGCCTTAGAGGAGAAGGTGGTGTTTGGACTGTGGACTGAGATTGATGGCAATTGTATTAATGATTTGTTTAGTAGTATGACAATAAGTGAGTCGTCATCGACAAACTCAATAACTCATCCCTTTTCTCCATGTAAATTGTAAGGTAGCCATTTATGGTAAGGATGACAGTGACGCTGTATTGGATTCCAATCGAGTTTTAATAATCTTAAATTGTTAGATTTAATTAATTATGTTTGATCATTTAATTCTAACTCACTAAAAGAAAAAGGGCATGTTATTTCGGAATTATTTGTTTCGATCGAATATCGAAGCAAATACTCTATTTTTTGCAGCAACATAATCTACCAAAGTAAAAAATAAAAGTACTTGCTTCGACATTCAGCTGGAGGTAAAATTTTAAATTCATATTCCTAGAAGTTTTGAAAACCCCAAAAATTAAACCCTATACCCTTTTTCTTCCTCACTCACGTCGTCTCTTCTCTTTTTTTTTTTTACAAAACTTGTCATGTTTAAATCGTATGCGTAATGTATAAATCATAAATCTAGAACTGGAGCTCTTTGCTCTCTCAATTGAATTAACAGGTCATACACACCCTATAAACTAAAAATTCACTTTGTTCATGTACGATCTAAACCAAAAAAAAAAAGGAGTCTTCTATTCTAAAAGAATTTAAACCATACCAAATTCCAAAAGTGAAAAAGAATGAAATAATATCAAGAATTCTCTTCGTACTTTATGAGTAAAGGAGTTTATCTGGCCAAAATTTGATTATAAATGTTTGATATTAATTCAATTCATTGTCTATTCTTGTTAATAGATCACTTTATTTTGTTACCTTGAAAGTGGCAGTAGAGTCAACAACTTTTTTTTTTTTTTTTGGGAGTTCAACAGTCAGGGGTTTTTGGGTTAACATATGCGCCCCTTAATTAATTCTCTCCCCGATTCAGTTAAAGACAAGTTATACACGTCAGAACTAACGTATTAATTAGAACTTGATCCAAAATAATTATTAAGATTCGAATTCAAAGCGTTTGAATTTACAGTTCGTACTTATTGTTTACAATACATTGTCGGCGCAACAAAATGTATTAGATTATATAGATACATGATTGATGCCAAAAATCAAATATTAGTGCAATTTTTTTGAGTCACAAAGGCTTTGCTTATTTAGCAAAACATAGTTGTAGCCAAATTGATTAAATTGCTGTCATGCTACATGAAAAAAAGGAGAGTCACGCTCACTTTTTTAATAAAATATCTATTAATTTATTATTTATAATATGAAATAAGATAAATTTCAATAAGTTCATCCAACGATCTCAAATAAACTCATCAAATGACCATCAATATTCTTCTCAAAACTATCCACATTTAACCCTTCCTTCTGCCCCGAGTTATCCCAAAAATAATACTTTTTAGATGATATTTAATGCTTGATAACTATACTCAACTTAAGCCTCATTTACTCGCATGAGTAGTATAATGGTGTGGGTTGGACACGGAACGAATTATAAATCAATTCGGATACGTCCCATTCAATCATTATTAGTGGTTTTCGAGTTTAATCAATACGTATGAATAATTAGAGATTACGAGTATTTGGAGGTTATTCTACAAGAGCATATCCAATGTAGTTAGTGATTTGAATTGGGGGTAAACCCATTTTAAGTCTACTCATCGTTGTCACAACAAAATGTATTAGATCATCCAAATCAACGATTGGTGCCAAAATTCAGATATTAGTGTAATTTTTTTGATTGCACTTATTATTTTTAAATTCTATTACGGTATCATAATACCATTTTTCAGTATGTACTTCCACATATAATCTAACAAAATCACCACACCCATAAAGTTTTCATAGTTTATATTTTTCATTATTTTTATTATTTTTTTAATAAATAATTATAAATAAATCAATTTAAAATCAAGGAAAATTTTCAACCACATCTTGCCTAATTTATCATATTTTTAAGAATATCCCCTCAATTTTCTGAATCTTCAGTGACATCCCTTATCAAATTAAAAATATTAACTACAATGTAATTTCACCAAATTGCCTATGATATATTTGAGAACAAACTTCATCCATCCCCTCTAGATAATCATATCTTTAATGAGACCCCATCTATTTTTTATTGTTTTTAAAATATGGGTCTATTAAAATTCGATTTGAGCTAATTAAAATTTATTTTTTTATGTATTAAAATTTGAGTCGATTAAAAATTATATTTTTTACGTATTAAAATTTGAGTCGATTAAAATTCTATTTGAGCTAATTAAAAATTATTTTTAATCGATTCAAATCAAATTTTAATCAACTCACATTGAATTTTAATCGGCCCAAATTTAAATATAAAAAAAAATATAAATTTTAATTGACACAAATTTTAATAAATCGAATTTTAATTTACACGAATTTTAGTAAGTAAAAAATATATAAACTTTTATCGACTTGAAAGCGAATTTTAATATGTGCTAACAACACGGATAGAGTTCAAATTGGGTCGAAATTTTAATACGTAAAAAATAAATTTTAATAAGCTCGAACTTTAATACGTACAAAAATTAAATTTAATCAGTTCGAATTGAATTTTAATAGGTTCAAATTTTAATATGTAGAAAAATAAATATTAATCAGCTCGAATTTTAATAAAAATTTATGTAGAAAAATTATTTGGGGTTTATGTAAGGATATTTTTTTGGTATTTTAGATTAATTTTTTTTGTTAGAAATGATGATTTAATGGCAATAGGTGTTAGTGATATTTAAATATAAACTAGAAGGGTTATCAGTGATATTTTTAATAATAGAGAGGGTGTTTTTAAAGATACTGTAAACTAAGTGAAATGTGACTAAAATTTTCCTTAAAATCAATGACGGATGAATGGAGTTACGATATCAAATTTGCATACCTTAAACTTATCATATCCTTCTTAACGCATGACTTGAAATAATAGCACTAACATATGCTTAATTCGTGAATGTTATTGATAGAGAATTTCAACGAATATTAGAACTCATCGTTAATTCAATAATTATGAGTAACTAGGTCAATAAATTAAAGGGTAAATCATATAAATGACCTTTGAACTTTAACCTTTATTTTAAATTGAACCCTCAATTTTTAATTTTTTTTAATTTATCTCCTTAATTATTTTAATCAGTACCTTCTATTAGATTCAGGCATTCTGTAGGGATGAAACCCTAACGCGAACTGCACACGACAGCCAATGGAGGGTATTTTTAGCATTTTATGTGTACATAGACCCTTCATCTCCTTCCCACTTTCCTCTTGACTACATCAAACATTTATAATGTCAAAAATGCCCTCCACCAGCTGTCATATGCAATTCATGTTAGGGTTTTATCCTCACTTAACACCTAAATCTAACTAAAATAATTTAAATAGTTTAGGGGTAAATTAAAAAAAATTAAAAGTTGAGGGTACAATTTAAAATAAAGTTGAGTTCAAGGATCATGTATGTGATTTAACCAAAATTAAATTAATAAATTGAGTTTGAGTAACATCGATATTCTCTTTTCTCAAAAGGATTACGATTAGTCTACCGTGTTAAAAAAAAAATTGGTACCATACTATCATTTATTATTTTTGTATGTATTTTTATCAGTGTTGTAATAATTATACCCACAAAAATTAATAAAAATATCCATAAAAATGATAATCACCCACAAATTATAAACTTTTTATTATAACAGAATTAATAAAAATTATAAAAACATTCATTAAAATAATAAAATTTAAAGGTATTATATAGAAATTTAGTTTTGGTTGCATCGTGAAGTCCAAAGATTTAGCGTACGGGAATTGGGAAAGGCTATGGTACCGATCGGTCAAAATTTGGTACGGTGCTCAAAAAAATGTGGTCTTCAATTTTTTTTATTAAATATTAAAAATTTATTAATTAAAGGTGTGATAACTTTGCCGATAAAAGTTGTACCATTTTTTCTAAAGGTTATAACTTCAGCCGCCGTTTTTTGTGATATTTTTATTTTTACTATTTTTAACTTAACCTTAAATAATTATAATTTCACATCCAAAATAACTTAACTTTAAATAATTATAACTTCACATCCAAAAGTAATAATTTTATCATAAATAATTATAATCTCATTTTCAAAAATTGTAATTTTACTTTTAATTATTGTAACTTTACCTAAAGAGTTTATACATCACCTTTAAAGGTGATAACTTTATCTCAAGAGTAATAACTTTATCTTTGTAAGTATTAACATTACATTTAATAATCATGATCGATCATGATTAATTAAGATTAATCCCAATGTCAAATCTTTGGATACAAAATTATAACTATTTAAGGTTAAGTTACAATTAATAAAGGTAAAAGTACCACAAAAAAATGACGACCGAGGTTACAACATTTAGAAAAAATGGTACAATTTTTATAGACAAAGTTATCACACCTTTAGTGAGTAATTTTTTAATATTTAATGACAAAAATTGAGGACCAGATATTTTTTTCAATACTGTACCAAATTTTGACCGATCGGTACCATAGCTAAGACT